AAAAATCTTTGTCCAATACGAGGTGAGTAATCGCTGTCCTGATATCCAGAAGCTCTTTTTGGTCATAAGAGATGGTGGCAGAAACATTATGTACAGAATAAATTACAAATAACGCAAAAAATACACATAATATTACAATTGGTTAGAGGGCTGTAAAACGGCAGCCATCTTCTCCGGCGCCACTTCAACCCATTTCAAGAACTTGCCATGGCTGCTGTGTCTGTGTTGTCCTTGCCACACTCGAATGCTGAAGCCGAGAGAGTATTCAGCCAGATGAGTGTGGTAAAAAGCAAACTTAGAAATCGGATGTCCTAGCAGACCCTTAACTCCATCCTGTACATTCGATATGGACTGAAGCTGTCTGGTGAGGCTTGCTATGAGCACCAGCTGCCTGATAATGTTTTGCAGCTTTTTGGCACATCAGCTGCTTACTCATTTAATTCAGCTCCCTCAGTTGCTGAACCTGCCATAGAGAGCCTTGACCAAAATGACGATGACCCACTCTTTCTGTGAGCCAGCACAGCCTGTGTGTGTGTGGAGGGGGGTCTGAATTAGGGCCAGACTAGTTACCATAATTTTCTCACATTGCCATTGACAGTTTTTTTTATTGTCTCTTTTTGGTCCATTTAGATTGTTAATTGTATACAAAAAAAATGGTTAAAATGTTATGGTTAAAAATGTTCATGTTTTACTGTGACTTGTTGTAGGCTCCTAAGTGGACCATAATGTTAAAAACAAAACAAAACTTTTAAAAAAAATAGTAACTCCGCCGAAGTGTCTGTTTTGGGTCACTTTTGCCGGTCCCAAGCCCGGATAAAGGAGGAGGGTTGGAATTGTGACATAAAAAAAAACAAGAATCGACAGAAGAAAGTTAATTTGTAGTTCTAAACATATTTAGGGTGTTTTATACTCACTTTCTGTCTCTCCCACAACGTTATTCCTCCTGAATACTTATCTAAATAAGTTCTTTCTGTTTTTTATTTTTAATAACTTTGCAAAAATTTCGAAAAACCTGTTTTCACTTTATCATTATGGGGTATTGTGTGTAGATTGATGAGGGGGGAAAATAATGTAATCAATTTTAGAATAAGGCTGTAACGTAACAAAATGTGGAAAAAGGAAAGTGGTTTGAATACTTTTTGAATGCAATATGTTGACCCTCATCAATCTGGCAGTCAGGCAGACAGACGGCGAGAGCTAGACAGCAAAACATAGGCTAGTTAGTCAGCAGGCTGGATAACTTCTGTACTCCTTCCCTTTGTTCCCTTCTCCATCCAAGCTAGAAGATTCCTGCAAAACAAGAGAATCAAGATTTGAAAATGGCAGTTGAGAGGTGTAACGTTAGAATGAGTGTTGATGGGGAGCAAGGATAAGCAAAATACATAGTATTGTCATATACAAAATACTCAAATACAAGGATCTCCGATGAATCAAGAAAATCTTCACATCCATATTGGGGGTACACGTTTCAAGAATGAGTCTAGCTTACTGTGTTTCGTGTTTTCATGTACCATCTCTCTCTCTCTCTCTCTCTCTCTCTCTCTCACACACACACACACGATGTCAATATTTTCTATAAGTTATTGTCATCATCTCTCTCTCTCACACACACACACACAGATACACACATAGGTAGTTAACGTGACAACGCTGACATGACAATGTTTTCTAAAGTGATTGTGATAATCTCTCTGTCACACACACACATACGTAGAGAACACACACACACATGTACTATCATTAACTAAACATAAATCAAAATGTCTAATGTTAGCTAGTTACAACCAACGCCTACAACAGGTAAAAATGAAAATGTACCATGGCATGTCCATGGAGGATTTGAGAGAGCTAATGTTCGCTTGCTAGCTAGCCAAAATTAGCTAGCTAGCAAATCACTCCTTGACCGTTCTTCTCCCAAACCGCCGCTTTACACAACAATAATGCAGGAGAACAGGGACTACCACTTAGCTGTCAAATCTTTTCGAAGTTTTTGTGTACAGTTTGAGAAACTGTCGTTGTTTTCCAGCCGTGTTGTAGCTTACTGGGAGCTCTGTCCCAACTACACAGCCCATCTGAAATTAGCCCACCCAACTACCTCATCCCCATATTGTTATTTATTTTGCTCATTTGCACATCAGTATCTCTATTTGCACATCATCTCTTGCACATCAATCATTCCAGTGTTAATACTAAATTGTAATTATTTTGCACTATGGCCTATTTATTTCCTTACCTCCATAACTTGCTACATTTGCACACACTGTATATATATTTTCTGTTGTATTTTTGACTGTACGTTTTGTTTATCCCATATGTAACTCTGTGTTGTTGTTGTTTTTATCACACTGCTTTGCTTTATCTTGGCCAGGTCGCAGTTGTAAATGAGAACTTGTTCTCAACTGGCTTACCTGGTTAAATAAAGGTGAAATCAAATAAATACAAATATAGAATGTTGATGGATGCTCTCGAGCTACTGCTGCGTGTTAATTAATTAAACAACCATTATTTAATTGTACTGCAGTTTGTAAGGGAATCCTATATTATTGTGCATATTTATCTTACATGCTGGTAGCCTAGAACAAAATGTTATGGAAGTGAATGTGCACTTTTCAGTTGGGTGGACTGCAAACCACAAAAAACACTGCCATAGCCTGTAGTAAAAGCAAAAGCATAATATAGCATCAGAGATTCTCTAAATTAGGGACCATCTTTGATACTTACAGGACCGCAGAGACTGTCACAATTTTGAGCTTTTAATGACCTTGTAAATTTGATGACTTGGAGGTAAAATATATCAAATGTCATTGTTTTTTAAAATTGGTATTTCATCACCTGACGAATAAACACCTCAAATGGCCCTACTCCTGAAAAGTTAATTGGGCCGGATAAGCTGATGTGGACTCGGCCCGAGTACTATTTGCCGGAGCCCAGAGTAATATGATTCTGCTGGATTTGGGAAGAGCTCGCACGAAGCCCCCCCCGCCTCAAACAGAATAGGCCCGAGCCCAGTGTGTTGACTGGGTACAGCATGCCACCAGACCTTAACCTGCTTTGATGCGCTCTGCCAGCTGTTGTTTGCCAAGTGTGCTAAGCTGCTAAACTCATACAAAAAAAATAACTGCTGAAAAATAACATTACTCCAATGTTTATAATTGTAATGGTTCTAGTGTCTTATGTGCAATGGGTGCATGGCCCACAAACACTATGCACATGTAGCATTTAGATAAGTGGTCAGGAGTTTAATCAGATTTCAACCAAAAAACAGATAAACAAAAATAAGACGTCTTCTTCATGACGTCAAAAATACCAGATTTGAATGGAGAAAGCTGACCCAAGAGCAGCACTTCCTTTCTTTTGATCCTGTCAGTATCGATACGTTCCAACGATGCACCTTGCGACTGCTCTCTCTGCGTGGTGTTTTGGGAAGCGCACGTTACAGTTTAGGCAGTTGTAGGAAAGATGCATCATTAAAACACTCGGTAAACCTAAACTCCATCTCTAAAGGGAAACCGGGCCCTGAAATAAATCACAATCTTGCAACCCTTTAGGCCAGGTGTCAAACTCATTCCACGGAGGGCTTAGTGTCTGCTGGTTTTTGGTTTCTCCTTTCAATTAAGACTTAGACAACCAGGTAGGGAAGTCCCTTACTAATCAGCAACCTTAATTCCTCAATCAAGTACAAGGGAGGAGCGAAAACCCGCAATCATTGGACCCTCCGTGGAATGAGTTTGTAGGCAATCCATGGAAGTCAGCTTTGACACACACACACACACACACACACCCTAGCACAAGGTTTTAAAGATGAACAACAATAATATTTAATATTGCGGTCAATGAGTGGTGAAAGAAAACATCACTGACAGCACAACATTTCCATTGTATATGAAACAAAATTATGTTACAGTACATTCCAGCATTATTGGTTTGTAGTTTGTTCGATGCAGTAAAAGTGTTTGATACATGACTTTAGACTCAGAGTTCATTGTGGATATGTACAGTCTGAGACCCTGTGGATTGTAAATCAATATTCACTATTACTAACATAATCAGACTCAGAGGCATTCAAGGCCCCAAAAGAATGTATAAAAAAAATCGAAATGATAATAGTGTAATATCTCCCATAACCATCTTTACACGACATCCTCCTCTACTTAAACACATTACTCATCCCATTCCTTGCAGGGGAACAAGATTTTGTTAAATAAGAATAAATAAATAAAAAGTTTGTTTTCTCAAAGAGCATCTTGCAAAGTGAATTCACAGTCCATGTGTTCACAGAGTACCACAGTAGGAGTCATAAAATCTAGCGGTCAAACAAAGAAATGGTTCCAATCGTTTTTCCACCACTCATTTTTCCCATAGGGGATTTTAGACACACTTAAAATAAGGGCTGTGTTTTTCGTGTAGGCTTACCCTGATGTGACTTTTTGATAACGGTGTAAATCTCTCTAGGACAAGGTGACATCAATATATTTGCCTGTATTTACCCCCCAAAAATGAAATGATAATTAGCTGCTAATGTGGCTATCATAAAGAACTACAAATGATGATCTGGACGAGACTGCCCAATCGAGGCAAAGGTAGTTAATCCAGAGATTCTTATCTAATGTTAGCTAAATTTAGTAATGAATAAATTGACTACATTTCTTTAAAATGGACAATTCTGTGAACGGTCTTGTGCAAGTTTTAAATTGACACAATTGACTATTAGCAAAGGTGTCAGCTAGAGATGACGTGCAGGAGCTTGCAGGGATCTGTAGTCTTACATGATGTCTACTTTGATGCTAATTAGCATTTTTGAATTTGAGAGTAAATAGAGGCAAATATATTGATAAAAGTCACCTTGTCAGAGAGATTTACATGGTTATCAAAATGTCACACCAGGGTAAGCCTGCACGAAAAACAGCCCTTATTTTAATTATTTCTAAAATTCCCTATGGGAAAAATGAATGGTGGAAAAACTATTGGAACCATTTCTCTGTTTGACTGCTAAGTTTTATGGGTATTATGACACCTCCACTGTGAGGCTCTATTAAGTATGTAAGTAAGTTCCATACGTAGAAAAAAAAATACGGTTCAGAACCCCAAAAAGCTCAGGATCATCACAGTGGTCCTAGACTCCCTTCATCCATTTGTCCATCGCCTCCTCTTCAGCTCACACTTTGTACTTCTCCTTTGCGTTCTCGTTCAGTATACAGATGTGCTGCACAGAGCAAAAACACATGGTAACGAGTATGTGTGTGCGCACACGCGTAAAAGAATACACCAATGACAGACTTGATTTAACAGACCCATCTTATATTTAGGTATTTCACTAAGATTCAACATGCTGAATCTAGGATAGAGAATATAACAGAATATCAGTATCATCTCTAACCCAGACAACTTACACTGAGATCTCTGAAGTACTCATTGTAGTCCAGGGCATATCCCACCAGGAACGAATCAGGCACCTCAAACCCGATGTCTGGGAAATACAGAGACAGACGTAAACACAAACAGACAAAAATCACTCTACAAATACATGCAAAACAGCTATATGTGCAACATGTCTTAACATATTGATACGAGTCTCTAGTTCCTGGCATGCTAAATACCAAGACATCCGTATAATGAGTTTATGGGATGTGTTTTAGTGTACATTTCTCCTTTACAGCTATATGCATTAGTATTACATAACAACATTAAGGCAGATAGAAAAGAGCACCATACTTTATATCTCTCGAGGCTAGCTAGTTTACTCCTGTTGTCTGTGACTGGGGTTTACCCTTTAGCTGCCAGGGCCATAGAGCAGGTCTAGATTTTCAGATAAGCATATTAATCTCGTGGAAAATATAACTGCATTATATGTGGTCATCCTTCCAAAGGCTGAGGCTCTTTCTAGTACAGTAGTACATCAACAGTGGGCAGGCACACACAACACACACACAGGCGGCAGGTAGCCTAGCGGTTAAGATTGCTAGGCCAGTAACCGGCAGGTCGCTGGTTCGAATCCCCGAGCCGGCAAGGTGGAAAGATCTGCTGTTCTGCCCTAGAGCAAGCACTTAACCCCCAACAACTGCACCGTGGACTTCGATTAAGGCAGCCCCCTGCATCTCTCTGATTGGGTTAAATGCGGAAGACATTTCAGTTGAATGCATTCACTTGTACAACTGACTAGGTATCCCCTTTCCCCAACACACACCAGCAAAACTCACAGTCTGGTCTGTATCCTGAGCTCCTTGGTGTTCTCTTGACTAGAAGGCTGAAATGACAATGCATACAACCAGAGAAATGAATAGGATCTCTAGGCAAACCATGCGATGTTGTCAATGACATAGTCTATACAACAATCTCAATGACACAGCAAACAATACAATTCACTCAATGGTGTTGTATTGTTCTTAATAATATAATGCACTCAAGAACATAGCCATCTACAACCTAAACTAGAGGGTCAAACAGTCCCTTCGATAGCAGAGGGATATCCCGTCCTGCCACAGATCTGTTAACAGTGCATAGATTAACTCTTAAGCTGCCCCAGTCACATAACATCTCTAAATCAGTGCTTAAGGGGAAGAGAGAGCATTAGGGTAGACAGAGAGTGCTGTCTGGATCGGCAAAGTGACTGACATTCTGAGCTGAAACACTTCTGTCTAAATCAGGGCTACACAGCACTTCTAGAGGATGTTCAGTAGGCATGATATGGGAGAAAAGAGAGTACTGTATACAATGGTTCTCACCTGACCACTTTGACCATCTTTGGATTGCATTCACTTAGCAGTGATAGCAGTGTCTCCATAGTCCTCCCCGTCTCCACAATGTCCTAAACAAATCAGCAGGACAGATACCGTTGGATAAGGGGTTTCAATTTATGGCATGCAAAGCAGTCATTCACTAATTCAAGGCAAGCAATAAAATATTTATGTGGACCCAAGAGTGAATGTGATTTGTGCCCTGGTCATATTGCTACGGTTCATGTGAGAGCTAGCATGCTCCACACATTTATTTACAGCAGTTTTAACATTTAGCAGGATTGACAATTCAGATGAAGTGCTAGAAAGACAGAGGGAAATTGTCTTACCTCAACTATCAAAACATTCTGCAAAGGAAATGACGAAACAATTGATCACACAAATATACTGTTGATGAATATGTACAGATCAGAACATTTGAATAATTTATTTAAAAATTACAGAGCCTCATTGGTAAAAGGGTTACAACTTCACTCCTAAGATGTACAATATTTTATCAGTGATTATGGCAAGCAATCAAATCTCACCTTCCCCGTTAGAGTAGAGAGCTCATCCCCTCCAATAACTTTGACACTGTTTGTAGACTGGTCATTCTGGGGACAATACACACACACACACACACACACACACACACACCAGTAAAACTACACATCTCATCCAGGAAGAGGGTGATGGTCTAAATCTATCATAAGGTGATCTAGTGGTGATCTAAATATACCTCATAACAGTGTTGGCCAATGGCAGTGTTATCTGCTCATGCATCAGTAGCAGATCAGAGTCTAGTAGTAGATCTGATTGTGCTTTAGCCAACCCCTGTGTCGTGTTTGTTGGCATGAGAACAGATAACAAAGGAGTTGGCTAAACACACAAACTGATCTAAGACCAGGCTAGACAACACAATTCTCCAGCAACAATACCCCCAGAATAAGCATGTAACCCGGCATTTACTGTACATAAAGATTGCCATCTACTGTATCTAACAGATTTGGAAGCTATTGAAGGAGGAAGATAAATGTGGAATGGTTCACTCACGCAATAGCTCTTTAGCCTAATGAAATCCACAGTCAACGGGACAGACTTCTCGCTGTTCTGATTTAGGGCCTTGATGTAGTCCAGCAGGTCGGCAAAGAATTTATAACCTCCTTTGAGAACACACAGTGCTACTATATGGTGTCCCCCCATGTCACGGACTATATCACGAGCCAGACGCTCAGTCCTAGAGAGAGAGAGACAAAGAGAGAGAAGGAGATGGAACAGAGAGAAGGATAAAGAAGGGGGATGGAGAGAGAGAAGGAGAGAGGAAGATACAATGGCATGTGAACTGTAATTTATGTGCAGGCTCATCAATCTTCAGTTGGTTTGTGATCTGGTTAGTCAAAAAAATAAATAATGGTTTGTGGTTAGTCTGGCCACCTGATGAAAAGTTGCTGCCTGGGTCAAATCAAATGATCTGGTTGGAGTCCTTCTACCGTATTCAGAACAGGGTTTAACATGGCATTCTACAACCGGGTAGTCCGATTGCCCATGTCGCATTCATAAGCCTGCTGCTTGCCACCGCATTCATAAGCCTGCTGCTTGCCACCCCCATGTCTGCAATTCAAATTGATGGTGGCTGTAACTTCCCTGCTGGTCTGAATGCCTAACAGTGATTTGCCTAACAAATATGTTGGTGAGCTGTTTCACACAAAATACCTTTGCAACCATGGGTAAATTAAGAAAACAATAGAGGCACAGAGGAGTTGGTGAGAACGTTGAGTCCTGATTTACTCCATAAGTGAATAGGAAAGTGTGTGTCAGAGAGAGACACTATTTCTGTTAACAACTCACTGTAACCTGATCCGACGAGTTGAACCTATAATATTCTGCTCTCCATTTATTGTACGCAGCACAAGGTTATTAGCTATATATTCATTTCTATTTGTTTTTATTTATTTATTTGAAATTCAGTTTAGTTTCAGTTGGTTTCCCGGCATGAATAACTAGTTTTTATTCAGTTTTATTTCTATAAAAACATTTATATTTCGTTTTTATATTATTTAGTTTCAGTTTTAGTGTTAGTGTTGGGGACAGAAAGTAGCCTCCTACAGTGGGGAGAACAAGTATTTGATACACTGCCGATTTTGCAGGTTTTCCTACTTACAAAGCATGTAGAGGTCTGTAATTTTTATCATAGGTACACTTCAACTGTGAGAGACGGAATCAAAAATCCAGAAAATCACATTGTATGATTTTTATGTAATTAATTTGCATTTTATTGCATGACATAAGTATTTGATACATCAGAAAAGCAGAACATAATATTTGGTACAGAAACCTTTGTTTGCAATTACAGAGATCATACGTTTCCTGTAGGTCTTGACCAGGTTTGCACACACTGCAGCAGGGATTTTGGCCCACTCCTCCATACAGACCTTCTCCAGATCCTTCAGGTTTCGGGGCTGTCGCTGGGCAATACGGACTTTCAGCTCCCTCCAAAGATTTTCTATTAGGTTCAGGTCTGGAGACTGGCTAGGCCACTCCAGGACCTTGAGATGCTTCTTACGGAGCCACTCCTTAGTTGCCCTGGCTGGGTGTTTCGGGTCGTTGTCATGCTGGAAGACCCAGCCACGACCCATCTTCAATGCTCTCACTGAGGGAAGGAGGTTGTTGGCCAAGATCTCGCGATACATGGCCCCATCCATCCTCCCCTCAATACGGTGCAGTCGTCCTGTCCCCTTTGCAGAAAAGCATCCCCAAAGAATGATGTTTCCACCTCCATGCTTCACGGTTGGGATGGTGTTCTTGGGGTTGTATTCATCCTTCTTCTTCCTCCAAACACGGCGAGTGGAGTTTAGACCAAAAAGCTCTATTTTTGTCTCATCAGACCACATGACCTTCTCCCATTCCTCCTCTGGATCATCCAGATGGTCATTGGCAAACTGGTGACCTTGCGTGCGCTGCAGGATTTTAATCCATGACGGCGTAGTGTGTTACTAATGGTTTTCATTGAGACTGTGGTCCCAGCTCTCTTCAGGTCATTGACCAGGTCCTGCAGTGTAGTTCTGGGCTGATCCCTCACCTTCCTCATGATCATTGATGCCCCACGAGGTGAGATCTTGCATGGAGCCCCAGACCGAGGGTGATTGACCGTCATCTTGAACTTCTTCCATTTTCTAATAATTGCGCCAACAGTTGTTGCCTTCTCACCAAGCTGCTTGCCTATTGTCCTGTAGCCCATCCCAGCCTTGTGCAGGTCTACAATTTTATCCCTGATGTCCTTACACAGCTCTCTGGTCTTGGCCATTGTGGAGAGGTTGGAGTCTGTTTGATTGAGTGTGTGGACAGGTGTCTTTTATACAGGTAACGAGTTCAAACAGGTGCAGTTAATACAGGTAATGAGTGGAGAACAGGAGGGCTTCTTAAAGAAAAACTAACAGGTCTGTGAGAGCCGGAATTCTTACTGGTTGGTAGGTGATCAAATACTTATGTCATGCAATAAAATGCAAGTTAATTACTTTAAAATCATACAATGTGATTTACAGACCTCTACATGCTTTGTAAGTAGGAAAACCTGCAAAATCGGCAGTGTATCAAATACTTGTTCTCCCCACTGTATGTATGGGAGGCTAGGAGCCATTTAGGTGTTGTAGGTTGTAATTCTTCCCTGTTAGTTAGTGATAACAGAGAGAAAAAAGGCGAAGCGAGAGGGCTGACTCCACCCCTAAATCTGTCTGCGCGAAAATCTGCATTAACTAGTGGAAGTGAGGAGTTTTTGTATGGAGGTCAATGAGAGTGTCGAATTTGGTCAACAAAAAATATAATTAGTATTTGCTATCTGAGGCTTATTTGATCGAATAGAAGTTTCGTAATGGTTAGGTTGTTACGAATGCACTGATAAGTGGATGCACGTGGCATTTCAGCAACTTTGAAAGAAAGACTATCGGAGTTCAGTGGAGGCTGCTGAGGGGAGGACGGCTCATAATAATGGCCGGAATGGAGTAAATGGAATGGTATCAGCCACACGGAGTTGTGTCTGTTGTTCACACGCATATCTGCCCTCTCATTGGCTAGAATTATCCCACCTGATCTCTCCTCCTACCGCCTGCCTTCCATCTTTGTGGACCTGTATTTCCATCATTAGCGCAGTCACTCGACTATCTTGTCAATATAATAGATCATCTTTGGTGATAGCTAGAAGTCTCGGAAATCCCAGACCTATAGCAGCAGCACAAGGTCTGGTGAAGATGTCAGATTCTCTTGGACATAAAAAAAAAAAAAAGGTTCCGGGGAGGGGCCTCTTCAGACAGACAAATCTCTCAACTAATCATGAGTTTGGGTAGGCGGGCAAAGCCTGAAAAATCTAACTGTTTCCGTAGCCTGTAGACAGACAAAACCTGGCTTGAAGGTAGATGATGCAAACTAGCCACTTGCAAAATGCACTCATTAAAATAACCTCCACATTCTCCATCTTGCTAGCTATCTACTACTTTGTGTCCGGCGGGGGTGTTTACGCTAGGGCAACAAGTGGAGAAGGTGGTGACGTCACCGGATGTGACGCGCTTCCCTGTTCCAATCCCCCGTGCCTGTCCAAATTGACGCAGGTACTTGTACAGACTTGTATGCTGGAACATTGTGGAAGGTAACCCATCTGTCTAGAGAGATAGCTAATGAGAGACTGGATCGCTAATGATGCACAAGCTAAGCCTATTTGAAACATCGCCATCTCCTGGCAGCATTTACCTGCCAGATTCAGAAGCTTGAATACCCCATTAGAAAAAAAAAGCTTGAAAACCCAATTCGATTTTTGCCCAAAGATTAAAAGAGAAAAAACTAAAGCTGAACAAAATGTACGATGGTTTTTATTTTAGTTCGTTTTGGAGTCAAAGATAATAGTTTCAGTATAGTTTTTGTTTTCCAAACGGGTTTCTTAATCATTTTATTTCAGTTTACTAAATGTTTTTCATGATTAGTTTTTGTTTTCTTTGTTTACTATAATAACCTTGACGCAGCATCGTGCCTTGGGGTTTGATGATGATGCTACAGTACAGTAGCCTACCCAGGTCCCATGAGTGCCAGTCCAGTGGTGATGGTTTGACTTACCTGTCCATGATCAGTCCATGAGGGATGATGACCCGGTCTAAATCCTCCTCATAGTGTTTGGGGACACAGAAGAGGTCCAACTCATACCCTTTCTCATCATCAGGTATCTGAAGGAGCAAAGAGATAAAACACATTTAGCAAATCATGACCTTGGGAGTAAGGTTATATCTGTGCAAAGCATAGTTCTGAGATATTGAGCATCAAAGTTTTCACATTCCAGATGTCAGAAGTGTTTTGTAGTGAATTGTTCTTTCAGGTACCTAAATTGCAGAGTATCAAAATCCTGAGACATTTGTCAATCTGTTGTTTTAGGGGGGTGCAATCACAGATAGAACCTTATGGCTGAACCCAGATTGACATTTCAGAGCCTATTGACACTTCTGAATGAAACATTCAGTTAAGAACTGTAGCTATTTGAATACATAAATGACAGAATAACTATTTTACCAAGATAGAGTCAGAACTCATCAAATACATTAAGAAATATATTATGATCAGACGAATTACGATCATCACTGAAAAACGATCTGACAAGATATACTTTTAAGATTTCTGACGTTGTATTTTGTTTGCGTGCCATTATTACTTGCTAGACTAGCCTACAACACAGGTCAAGTTCATTTTGCATGGCCCTGTGCCCCAGGTGAACGGAGTTAGGTAATTTTAAACCTTTCCATTGGTCTTAAATAGAAATCTCCACCCACCCTGGGCACCGGGCCATGAAAAACGAACTCCATCATTATTAGAGGGAGATAGCAAAGACATTTTCTGATTGGTACGTCTGTATTTGTTCAGGCTTGTGATTGGATTGCAGATAGAACATTATACTGCCAAATTCAAAAGGTATTTATGCAGATAGAACTTTCTAGTTTTTCCATTTTTGTTTCACTTAAAACTAACTTTTAAAAAAAATCTCACATCAAAGTCATATGAAGAAGCATCTAAAGATCAAATTATATGTGACTGAACACTTTTTTTAAACAAAATATAACCTTATATAGTTCCAAGGTCTGGAAATGTTGGCACAGAATGGCACAAGTCTTCATTGAGTTGACCAAGTCTTCGCAAACGGAAGCACATACGCACGCGCGATCACACACTAACGTCACCCCTGCAACATTTTTAAGCTTGCTTTCAACCACCTGTTTCTGGGTGAGACAGAGATAGCGGGTGCGATCCGCTTTCAGGATTTCATACTAGGCCTGACTGGCTGCGTCAATTGTGAAATTATGTCAATTGACAAGGTAGCTAACATATGCCAGGGATTTATTCACACCTGTCCTGTCCCGCAATCCTGAAGTCATTATGAAACCACACTCCGACACATAAATCAAAAACGTCCATTCTGCAGAAACCCATTCTGTCCAGAGCAAGACAAGGGATCTGTCTGACTTACATTGGAAATAGAACATAGGGTACACTTTACCTGGAGATAGGAGGCCATGTTACCGCTCGTGCTGTTCACGCCTCACTAGGGTGATATTTGAGGAGTCATGCCCGGATCCATAGGGAAGAAATAATGTTATTTAGTGTAATGGGTGGGGCGTCTCTCGTATGTGCTCTGTCGACCTACTTTACCGTGGTCGAGTACATGCGATGCTCTCCCTCCCCCGGGATTTTAAACCATCACGTCACAATCCATTTTACCACAGCTAGCCTTTTACCGACCAATAATCTGATTTACCGGACGCAACCTGCGTTTAATGCACTGGCTGTTGCACATTTCATAATACCGCCGTACTCATTGCGTTGAAATGAATGGTACAATTGTCGAATTAGCTGAACTGTGAAAATAATTGTAGCCTAGTGAATATTTGTCGTAAATCACCGTCCGTTATATCGTATGTTATAATATAAATCCACACATCCAAATCAATGCAGAAACGCGTCTTCCCTGTGCTAGCCTATAGCTGCGCCATGACAAGGATTATCATACATTTGGGAGGCTTGCTGTCATAGTGACATGCTGCTCAATGATGATCTATATACAGCGTATTCCATGACTATTTAGTTCATTGTCTGTAACCCAGTATTGGTCCGATCAATAGTTTGTCTACAGTTTATCCAAATGGGAAAATAAACTTCAAACCACTCCTTTCGCTTGGTATAGCCTGTGTTATGTTAGATACAGATTCATAATATGCAGTCCATCACCAGCCTTGAATGTATGGCCATGTTAGGATCAAAACCATAATGTACAGTCATGGTCAAAAGTTTTGAGAATGACAAGTATTGGTCTTCACAAAGTTCGCTGCTTCAGTATTATGAGATATTTGTCAGATGTTACTATGGCATACTGAAGTATAATTACAAGCATTCCATAAGTGTCAAAGGCTTTTATTGACAATTACATTAAGTTTATGCAAAGAGTCAATATTTGCAGTGTTGACCATTCTTTTTCAAGACCTCTGCAATCTGCCCTGGCATGCTGTCAATTAACTTCTGGGCCACATCCTGACTGATGGCAGCCCATTCTTGCATAATCAATGCTTGGAGTTTGTCAGAATTTGTGGGTTTTTGTTTGTCCACCCGCCTCTTGAGGATCGACCACAAGTTCTCAATGGGATTAAGGTCGGGGGAGTTTCCTGGCCATGGACCCAAAATGTAGATGTTTTGTTCCCTGAGCCACTTAGTTATCACTTTCGCCTTATGGCAAGGTGCTCCATCATGCTGGAAAAGGCATTGGTCGTCACCAAACTGTTCTTGGATGGTTGGGAGAAGTTGCTCTCGGAGGATGTGTTGGTACCATTCTTTATTCATGGCTGTGTTCTTAGGCAAAAATGTGAGTGAGCCCACTCCCTTGGCTGAGAAGCAACCCCACACATGAATGGTCTCAGGATGCTTTACTGTTGGCATGACACAGGACTGATGGTAGCGCTCACCTTGTCTTCTCCGGGCAAGGTGTTTTCCGGATGCCCCAAACAATCGGAAAGGGGATTCATCAGAGAAAATGACTTTACCCCAGTCCTCAACAGTCCAATCCCTGTACCTTTTGCAGAATATCAGTCTGTCCCTGATGTTTTTCCTGGAGAGAAGTGGCTTCTTTGCTGCCCTTCTTGACACCAGGCCATCCTCCAAGTCTTCGCCTCACTGTGCGTGCAGATGCACTCACACCTGCCTGCTGCCATTCCTGAGCAAGCTCTGCACTGGTGGTGCCCCGATCCCGCAGCTGAATCAACTTTAGGAGACGGTCCTGGCGCTTGCTGGACTTTCTTGGGCGCCCTGACGCCTTCTTCACAACAATTGAACCTCTCTCCTTGAAGTTCTTGATGATCTGAGAAATTGTTGATTTAGGTGCAATCTTACTAGCAGCAATATCCTTGCCTGTGAAGCCCTTTTTGTGCAAAGCAATGATGACGGCAAGTGTTTCCTTGCAAGTAACCATGGTTAACAGAGGAAGAACAATGATTTCAAGCACCACCCTCCTTTTAAAGCTTCCAGTCTGTTATTCTAACTCAATCAGCATGACAGAGTGATCTCCAGCCTTGTCCTCGTCAACACTCTCACCTGTGTTAACAAGAGAATCACTGACATGATGTCAGCTGGTCCTTTTGTGGCAGGGCTGAAATGCAGTGGAAATGTTTTTTTGGGATTAAATTCATTTTCATGGCAAAGAGGAACTTTGCAATTAATTGCAATTCATCTGATCACTCTTCATGACATTCTGGAGTATATGCAAATTGCCATCATCAAAACTGAGGCAGCAGACTTTGTGAAAATTAGTATTTGTGTCATTCTCAAAACTTTTGACCACGACTGTATATGGGTACATTTTGACTGACTGACTTACAAATAATGAGTAGTTATTTATGATGCAAGGTTCTTTGTAGATCAGTCAGTCGGCAGTCGCCTGCACTGTAAAACAAGCCCTATGTCTTCCCCACAAATGCCTGGCAAGACTGCAGGGGAGGCAGCATAACCTCACAATTCTCCTCCCTGGGTTTCTATTACATTAAATATTATACAGTACAAAAAACACCCAAATAAATGCAAGGGACAAAAGAAAACATTTGCCAATTGGAAACATAACAAAATTATTTAATATGACCCCACTTTAATGAGTGAAATTGACAGAAATTGAAGGTTCCTTTTCACCATACGAAAGATAAGAGCTCCCAGGCAATTGTGTGTGTATGTATGTATGTATGCATGTATATATATATATATTACACACACACACCACCAGGGTCGCATTCAGGAGGGGGCAATTTACTGAACGTTACCGATAGAAATAACAGAATAGAGCTGACGTGATTACTCACATCAGAGAGGCATGTCTGTTCTACAATATGCATTTCTATCTGAGCGTTCCTTAACGTTGTGCCCTACTGAACGCAGCCCAGACGGTGCAGAACAAACGTTCTCATTGTAGAGAACATCAACACACATAACCATCCTCTCACCCTCAGCACTATAGTTATTATGTCAGTTATGACAAAGGGCAAGTCTCAAATGACACCATATCCCCATATAGAGCACTACTTTTAGCTAGACCATATACACAGACGCATGTGGCTCAGGCCAAAAGTAGTGCACTATCCAGGGGAATAGGGTATGAATAAGACAACAAAATAGTGCACACTTATTTCTTCTTCTTTTCTTCTTTCTTGGATGAGGAGTCACCCTTCTCCTTTTCTTTCTCGTCCTTCTTCTCCTTGTCCTCTTTCTTCTCCTTCTTGCCCTCTTCCTTCTCCTGTCCCTCCTTCCTCTCTGCGTCGCGGTTGGAGATCTTGTTGTTGATGAGGTTGTGGAGAGCCACCACTGAGCGGATGAGGGAAGCCAGGTAGACGACCAGCATCTGGTCGTTGGTCTTCAGGTAGAAGGCCTTAGTGAACTCCTGCAGGGAGAGGTGGCAGGATTAGGGCATTGTGAATTATGATTAACTAACCAGGGGATTTGATCAGCACAACAAGGAATCTGGTGGAAAAAGCCACGCTACCTGTTCATTGTAATGAGGTAGTAGATCCTACAAACCTGAATTTATTTGATTTGAGAATGAAAATGTATCAATGTGCACTTTTTCCTAAATAAAAAAAGGTAATATCGATTACCATGCCTGCCACCCCCTGCCCCTATCCCCCTTGCTCCCACACACACTCAAGCCTACCCCCACACCCCATCATACCAGTAGGTTGACGTCGGGAAGCAGGTTGAAGACGTCCTGTAAATGGTAAACGATTTGGTGGTTGATGGGCAGCTTGCCTGCAGCCACTCTCTCCAGGTAAGACCTGATGTCCAGCAGTTTGGAGTTGAGTCCCTTCAGGCCATGTACCTGGTTGGTGATCTGCTGAGACAGAGTACCCACTGTTGTGTCCTTGATGTCTCTGTGGACACAAGATTATATGATAGAATATATCAGAGGAGAATAGAAAAGGATTTAGAATTCAGTGTGGAGTTAAGCTTGAAGTCAGAAGACTCTGTGAAAAGCTTTATTGTGCGTGTCAGTGAGAGAGAAAGAGAGATTGGTATGTGGAACGTCTGTGTGTGGTCTAGTTAAAAGATAATGCGTACCTGAGCAAGTGCTCCACGCCCACCTCCTCCGCCTCCTCTGCTCCGATCTCACTGGTCACATGTTCAAACGTCTTGGAGGTCGGAGTGCCGTCCTGGAGGAGTACAGTAACAAGAACTTGTGTGATCACTTGTATGCCTAGTCCAAAATCAGCCCAGAGACCCCGGGGTTGGCTGGTCCAGGGTTTGACTGATTTTGTCATTTAGGCTCATACATGTCTATGCTCCACTTACGTCATGTATTTCCTCCACAGAAAAGTAGGCTTCTGTAGGCAGGCCCAGGTCCTTAGGCTTCACATCAATGATCACTAAAACCTGAGAGGGAGGAAGTTCCATACAAACACAGTCATTGTTAAAATCTCTGCTGCATTATCAATACAATTTTATAATTTCAACAGGAGATGAGACAAATATGTCTTACTGGTATTTATTAATGTGGAATATTTACGGGGTTGAAAGCACTTACTGAATTGGTGCAGTATTGCTTGATGAGTTCATTGATGGCAATGTCATTCTTATGTAGTTTAGGACCTGTGTGATACCAGCCCACTATCCTCTCTCTGGCTGAAGAGAAGAGAAGGGAAAGGTTTAAGAATCTTATAGGATAACTGTAGAAGTCGATGAGACTGAATTTAATAGTTAAAATGTACTAATGTATAGTGTGTTTGAGTGTGTGTTCTCACCATTGACTTTCTTGAACATGCTGTACATATTCTCCAAGTAGTCATGATCCAGGAACCACACAGAATCATCCTTGTCATCCTCATCAAAAGGCACTGGAGAAAACCCAATCAATATGGATCCAACTACAGGCTTTTATAGCTAAACATTTTGTCATCATAATTACTCTGCCATCACAAATATTATATGAATGTTATAAACTAGCCATATGACATAACAGGTTATTTTAGTACATGATGAAAGGAGAAGAAATCACCTGCAAAGCTGTTGGACACATCAAGGACTTTCTTATGCCAAGAGCCGAGGAGAACACCCACTACTCGCTTCTGGTTGCCTACTTTCCCTATTCTGTAAAAACAACATAACATTTACACAATCAATACCATAGGATGTCTTAGAGGAAATCAAAAATCAACTAAAGTGAACATAACTAGCTACTTTTACCCCGGCACTAGCGAGGTTAACTACCCTGATCCATAATGACGTTGTGCTCTACGAAACAGACTGAAAAGGTTTTCCAATTATTCCATTATTTAGAAATCAGTTTATGTTACTTGCTAATACTAACTGATAGTGAGTGGCCTGTAAATACAATTGACTAGCCAAAATTAGCTAGCTAGCTATGCTACTGTCATGGCTAACAAATACACAGCTTCATATGGGTTTCTGACTCAGCAGGTTAGCTAGGCCTGGCTGCAACATAATCTCTCGTACAAAAAGTGGCAAGTTAGTAAAGAGGTAGCGAATGGATATGATTTCGAAACAGATATACTATTAATGACATACCTATTAAAATGATCCACCACGCTGAGCAACACCAGTGGATGGACAACCACATTTTCTACCGCTAACTCCGGCATTTTTATGTGAAGTGTTTGAGGATACAACCAAACTCTGTGATGCTAGCTGTCTAGCTAGGTAGCTACTTCCTGTCAAATGGCTAGCTACTTCCGTTTCTACGTAGCAACAGAACCACTAAACAGAACGCGACGGTAGTGAAAAAGGAATATCTTTGGAAGCCGCTTGTTAGACTACAACAACATTGATTTGACAGCTAACGTTAATCAGAACCTGCAAATATGGTAAAATAGAATTAATGATTTCATTATTAAATGTTTTGTCTCAAGTTGTTAGCTAGTTCAATAATAGTTATGTAAAAGGTAGTTACGTGCAGGCAGGCCTAATATCAAATATTGATGTCAATACCAAGCCATTCATAGTCGCGGGAAGATGTTTTGAGTACGGGGTGCAGAGGAAGTACATACAATCTTAGCCACAGAGGATCATTAGTTTATTTTAAAGATGTGGATTGTTTGTATGCCTAGTTGGGAAGACCTCAATTTGGGCAGAAGGCGTGGCAATAGGCCTAGCTGATTATTGCGATGTGGCTGTCAGTGAAAACCAATGCATCTAAAATATGTGTGAAGATAATTTGTCTTGAGTATAATTTGAAATGTTGAGACAAGAAGGGGAGTGGTGCGTGGTGAATATATTGGCGGGCCTCTCCCCAGAATGCCCTCAGCTCTCCAGAATGTACGGCGTTCACCCATAAAAGGATAAATTAATTCAAGGTTTATACAAATATGTCCATTCAATAGAGGATTCCAAAAGAAAAACAATAGTCCAAACCCCATGCCTCTACCATATATGGTTCAAACGTTACAGACGATTTACTCTGAACATTTAGCATGTTTAGAGTAAATGGAATGTCATCACAGGCATGATCACAAAGTGGTCACTGCTCAATAGAACTGTGGCGCTGCTGCGAAGCAGAACGGTGCTAACTTCGAATGTCAACTCACAAGCTAACTAGTGGCTGCAGGTTTGTGAGTAAAACATGTTTTTTTCCCCAAATGAAATCAGTTGAATACAAAACTGAATAGGGACTAAATATAATAATAATATATTATTATTATTATTATTATTATAAATATGTATTTATTTACAAAGCTGAATTTCAATATCCACCCTCCGCGAAGACAATATGTTCCTGTTTGTTTGTGTATTTCTGAGTCTTTCCCTTTAAATCTTCATAGAAACGGCCCTCTCAAAGTAGATTGATTGCCAATACAGTGGTTTGCAAAAGTATTCACCTCCCTTGGCATTTTTCCTATTTTGTTGCCTTACAACCTGGAATTAAAATTGATTTTTTGGGGGGTATGTATCATTTGATTTACACAACATGAAGATGCAAAATATGTTTTATTGTGAAACAAACAAGAAATAAGACATACCACAGATTCTCAATTGGATTGTAGTCTGGGCTTTGACTAGGCCATTCCAAGACATTTAAATGTTTCCCCTTAAACCACTAGAGTGTTGCTTTAGCAGTATGCTTAGGGTCATTGTCCTGCTGGAAGGTGAACCTCCGTCCCAGTCTCAAATCTCTGGAAGATTGAAACAGGTTTCCCTAAAAAAATTCCCTGTATTTAGCTCCATCCATCATTCCTTCAATTCTGACCAGTTTCCCAGTCCCTGCTGATGAAAAACATCCCACAGCATGATGCTGCCACCACCATGCTTCACTGTGGGGATGGTGTCCTCTGGGTGATGAGAGGTGTTGGGTTTGTGCCAGACATAGCGTTTTTCTTGATGGCCAAAAAGCTCAATTTTAGTCTCATTCTTCCATATGTTTGGGGAGTCTCCTACATGCCTTTAGGCGAACACCAAACGTGTTTGCTTATTTTTTTCTTTAAGCAAAGGCTTTTTTTCTGGCCACTCTTCCGTAAAGCCCAGCTCTGTGGAGTGTACGGCTTAAAGTGATCCTATGGACAGATACTCCAATCTCCGCTGTGGAGCTTTGCAGCTCCTTCAGGGTTATCTTTGGTCTCTTTGTTGCCTCTCTGATTCATGCCCTCCTTGCCTGGTCCGTGACTTTTGGTGGGTGGCCTTCTCTTGGCAGGTTTGTTGTGGTGCCATATTCTTTCCAATTTTTTAATAATGGATTTAAATGGTGCGCCGTGGGATGTTCAAAGTTTTGGATATTCTTTTATAACCCAACCCTGATCTGTACTTCTCCACAACTTTGTCCCTGACCTGTTTGGAGAGCTCCTTGGTCTTCATGGTGCCGCTTGCTTGGTGGTGCCCCTTGCTTAGTGGTGTTGCAGACTCTGGGGCCTTTCAGAACAGGTGCATATACAGTTGAAGTCGGAAGTTTACATACACCTTAGCCAAATACATTTAAACTCAGTTTTTCACAATTCCTGACATTTAATCCTAGTAAAAATTCCCTGTCTTAGGTCAGTTAGGATCACCACTTTATTTTAAGAATGTGAAATGTCAGAATAATAGTAGAGAGAATGATTTATTTTAACTTGGGTCAAACGTTTCGGGTAGCCTTCCACAAGCTTCCCACAATAAGTTGGGTGAATTTTGGCCCATTCCTCCTGACAGAGCTGGCGTAACTGAGTCAGGTTTGTAGGCCTCCTTGCTCGCACACGCTTTTTCAGTTCTGCCCACAAATGTTCTATAGGATTGAGGTCAGGGCTTTTGTGATGGCCACACCAATACCTTGACTTTGTTGTCTTTAAGCCATTTTGCCACAACTTTGGAAGTATGCTTGGGGTCATTGTCCATTTGGAAGACCCATTTGCGACCAAGCTTTAACTTCCTGACTGATGTCTTGAGATGTTGCTTCAATATATCCACATAATTTTCCTTCCTCATGATGCCATCTATTTTGTGAAGTGCACCAGTCCCTCCTGCAGCAAAGCACCCCCACAGCATGATGCTGCCACCCCCGTGCTTCATGGATGGGATGGTGTTCTTCGGCTTGCAAGCCTACCCATTTTTCCTCCAAAACATAACGATGGTCATTATGGCCAAACAGTTCTATTTTTGTTTCATCAGACCAGAGGACATTTCTCCAAAAAGTACGATCTTTGTCCTCATGTGCAGTTGCAAACCGAAGTCTGGCTTTTTTATGGCGGTTTTGGAGCAGTGGCTTCTTCCTTGCTGAACGGCCTTTCAGGTTATGTCGATATAGGACTCGTTTTACTGTGGATATAGATACTTTTGTACCTGTCTCCTCCAGCATCTTCACAAGGTCCTTTGCTGTTGTTCTGGAATTGATTTGCACTTTTTGCACCAAAGTACGTTCATCTCTAGGAGGCAGTACGCGTCTCCTTCCTGAGCTGTATGACAGCTGCGTGGTCCCATGGTATTTATACTTGAGTACTATTGTTTGTACAGATGAACGTGGTACCGTCAGGCATTTGGAAATTGCTCCCAAGGATGAACCAGACTTGTGGAGGTCTACAATTTTTTTCCTGAGGTCTTTGCTGATTTCTTTGGATTTTCCCATGATGTCAAGCAAATAGGCACTGAGTTTGAAGGTAGGCCTTGAAACACATCCACAGGTACACCTCCAATTGACTCAAATGATGTCAATTAGCCCATCAGAAGCTTCTAAAGCCATGACATCATTTTCTGGAATTTTCCAAGCTGTTTAAAGGCACAGTCAACTTAGCGTATGTAAACTTCTGACCCACTGGAATTGTGATACAGTGAATTATAAGTGAAATAATCTGTCTGTAAACAACTGTTGGAAAAATGACTTGTGTCATGCACAAAGTAAATGATCTTACCAACTTGGCAAAACTATAGTTTGTTAAAAAGACATTTGTGTAATGGTTGAAAAACGAGTTTTAATGACTCCAACCTAAGTGTATGTAAACTTCCGACTTCAACTGTATACTCAGATCATGTGACACTTAGATTGCACACAGGTGGACTTTACTTAACTAATTATGTGACTTCTGAAGGTAATGGGTTGCACCAGATCTTATTTAGGGGCTTCATAGCAAAGGGGGTGAATACATATGCACGCACCACTTTTCCGTTATTTTTTTCATTTCACTTCACCAATTTGGACTATTTTGTGTATGTCCATTACCTGAAATTTAAATAACAGGTTTTAATGCAACAAAATAGGAAAAACGCCAAGGGGGATGAATATTTTTGCAAGGCACTCTATAGGCAATGAAAGCAAAGGATCTGGATGTGAAAATGAGGAAGGTATCAAGTTGATTTTGGTTGGTCTAACGAGCGGAAACACCTCCAAACGGTACCACAGTGCCAAATATGGAAGATACAACCAAGAGCGGAGTAGTTAAAACTAGCAAATGAACGTTCTTATTTAATCAACACTGTCAAGTACAAGTATATTAAGGTTACAATATTGTAGAGAACAATCTAATTATTAATTCTATGAAATGTATAATGACATGGGGCAAAGAAAACTAAGTTTTGACAATTTCGTAGCACCCTCTTGAATTGCCCCGTTTTTCTCTACATTGTACAGCAGTGAGTCAACATGCTACAGAATGCGCTGAGCTGTCTCCCTCCAATTCTTGCACTTTCATTTTTGTATTGTCTTAATTGTTTGCCCTTCGATTGTTTATTTTGGTAAATTCCCCATTACATATGTCACCAATAGTAAATGTACTGTTAATCCCCATCATTTACTTACATTAATTTCTGTTAATGCACATTTTGTCAATTTTTTCATTGTATTTTGTTTGGAGCGCTCCATGTGAGCAATGAGCATGTGTGTGGTTTTTCTGTCCTCTTAGTGTTGACGGAGTGCGCGCGCGCCTGAGCATGCGTAGAAGTAGGCTAACTGGCCTGCTGCGCTCAAATGTAGGAAAGTGCCCATTTGGGGATGTCTGATTTCTGGTTGTCTTATCTCACCACCACTAATAAGGTGGGCTACTCAGTGATTTTTCTCCACCTCACACCTTGAGTCAACAAAGTCATAAAAAAAAAAGAATCCATTGTGAATGATAATAGTTCCTCTCAGTATTTGAAAAATCTTTCCAACACTCTCCCCCTTGATAATCACAAACTTGAAACTCACGTGCCACCTAGGAATAGACCGTTGTGAACAGATCGCACATTCTTTGTACTGCGTAATTACAACAGGTGTGTGTGTGTGTGTGTGAGAGAGAGATAATGAGA